ACCTAATTGTGCAATGGGTGAGCAGGTCTGCCATATAATGCAAAGAATAAATGCAGAATTGCACAGAAGTAAATCATTATTCCCACTGTTAAAGCCTTCTTCCCACTCAACACAATGCTGTGAGAAAACCCATTGATTACATGGTATTTACCCCTCTGTGGGCCAAAGGTCAGAGGGTCAGCCTGTGCCTCAAAAAGGCCAAATCCCAAACCTATTGTGCAGTTAGGGGTGAGAAAGCAGGGGGCAATGGCAGCCAACTTTAGGGGCTTATTCTCTCACAAAGAAACTCCTCTGCGTTTATTACAAAAGCTTACAGGAGAAAAAGAACTGCGACCAAAAAAACCCAAAACATTTTTTGTCTGAGAAGTCAAAGCACTGTGAGGTGAAATGCCAGCTCTAACAAACACACAAACACATCTTTTAGTTTTGTTTTTTTCTCTCTACGTTTCAAGATAGTATTCTTTATTTTTATTTTCAGCAGCCCTCAGTTGCACAGAATAAAACGACCGCTGAGCTGTTTGTCAATGTGTGTCAGCCAAAGATGAAGGGTGAAGGTTTTTGTGACAGAATATTTGTCATTTCTATTCTCAAGTTTCAGGATTGTTGGTGACAAAAGGATCAGGTCTACATCTGTGGATGTCTGCGAGTGTCACCAAGCGATGGTTTACAGACACAGGGAAACTAAACTTTCTCAGCAGTCTGAAAAGTGCACAAACTGCAGAGAAAATGGGGATTAGAAATGCGTGATGGTTGATATAATGCTATGTAATTAAAGCAGCTTTGATGTAAACAAGTTGGATTATGTGCTCCTTCCCTGCAGCTACTATTCACACAGGAATAGAAACAACTCCCCCTGCTGGCTGCAGCAAATACTGAGAGGAAATCAAATGATTCATATGTGAGATAAAAATGTTCTACTTAAGTTGTTGAAGCCTCGCTATTGAGTTTTCACAGCTGTGGAATGCAGTAAATTTTGCTGAGAATGACTCAGGCAGAGAGGGAATCTGGTTAGACACTCCAATGATTTCCTGTATGGTCAGCGGATACAGGGAGCGGGGCGGCAGCACAGGCGTTCACAATGGAAAGCCTTTTGTTTACAACTAAAATATTGTGAACTCTGGGTTAAAAAAAAAGAGTCCTGGTCATTAGGCTTCAGTATAAAGACTGGCATTGTAGGAGTAGTGTGAGGAGCCTATGACTAATGTGCTTGGTCATTGAGGGCCTGAACTGCATTGTGTGCCTATTGTGATGGCAGAAGTCCCCAACAGGTGCGGGTCATTCCACAGGAGCACCTCACTAAAGGATTGTTGGCATCAGGGAAAGTCTTTCATCCCACTTTCTTTGTGTTGAAGGAAAAGTTCAGCGTTTTTAAAGTGAAGATCTGCTAAAATGGCATAAAGAGCTGAAATCTGACTGTAAATAACTCTCCTAGCATCTTTACAGAGTATAGATACAGCTGCAAGCTAATCCCTATAATTTAGAATATTATTGAAACGTTTAATTTGTTTCTGTCATTCAGTCTAAAATAAAAATCCAGCATTTTATGATGTATTCACTGTATGTATGTACAGAAATGTATTAATAACTGATGATTCGGGTTTACATTTAACAAAATAGTAATATAATGAGAAATATTTAGTATTATGTGAGACCAATGAAAAATGATTTATTTTGTACCTGTGTACTGTACCACCCAAAATTGGTTGGACCTTCTTTTGCATGAATTATTTTATCAGTGTGCCGTAGCATGAGGATGGCCAATCTGTGGTGTTGTTGAGATGTTAATGAAGCCTAGGTGGCTTAGATAACAGCCCTCAGCTCGTCTGCATTGTTGGGTCTGATGTCTGTTGTTTGCCTTTTGTCAATACTCCAAAGATTCTCTATGGGGTTCCGGCCAGATTGCTGCTCAATCAAGCTCAATGGTACCATGGTTATTAAAGCACCTCTGGTTACTTCTGCAGAGTTGGCAGGGAAAAATAAAATCAGCTTTTGTGTAACGCTTTTATCAAAAAGATGTATAAAGTGCTATATTGTTTCCTGGTAGATACAGAGTTAAACAGTATTGATACCCAAGTTTTACAAAGTGTTGAAACTTTATATTGGTTCCTGGCATGCAACTTGGATTCTGTGCCTCTCCATTCTTTCTCCAGACTCTTGAATCTGGAAACTCCAAAAGTTGAATTATAATAGGGACCTTGAACCATCCGCTTTTTCCTGTTAGGATTATCATTATTATTGATTATGTGTGAGTCTGTAACACCCTATTATTACCTGCCTGTTATGTGTCAGAACTAATGTTTTCCCAGTAGTTTATCTAATTAGGGCGGTTCCTCTGTCCAGATATACAGTTATCATCTTCATTATGTGCATGGCAAAGATTTGGGAATGGAATGAGAGTGGTGTCCTGGATCTAAGAACAAAGTGTAATATTTTGATAAGGCTGGAGCCATGGATGCTTATTTAACTGTAATAAGGGAGCCACATCATGAGATGTGAGGCTGGTTGGTAAGCCCTGCCTTCTATAGTCCTATGCAAACTCTCAGGACTGAGTAAGATTACAATTTCTGTCCAAATCTGTTGCCATGTCTCTAGGTTGTTTAATACACATACATTATGACATGTTACTTAAATAATTTGTCCTAAGTAATCTCTTTTCAGGAAAAGAATTGGAGAGAGAAAGCCTCCAGGTGTAAACACAGAGCAATTCCAATGTTGTCCCTGGATCAGGAGTGGCTTTACAAAAAAAAAAATATAAAAAAATTAGACAGTTGGAGCCTGTTGGTATGTCTGTGTGGCATTCAAATCACTGGCATCAGCTATGTCCACTTGTACTGAATCTCCACCAAGCTATCCTCTTAAGGCTGCTGCTATCTCTGTCATTGGAGCAACTTTTTCCTGTCTGAACTTTCTGTTTTTACTGGATGCTTGCATACAAAACCCCTGTCAGTTTTTTAGCAGTTACCTTTGTCGCCTAACCTTTTCATAGAGGGTATCTTTGACCATAAATTGGTCAACTGTCAAGTCTGCAGTCTTCAGCATAGGCAGTAAATTAGAATATTTTATCCGTCCATCCATCCATCCATTTTCCATCACGCATTATCCCTGCTGGTGCCTATCTCCAGCTGTCTACGGGCGAGAGGCAGGGTACACCCTAGACAGGTTGCCAGTCAGAATATTTCAAGTTAACATTAATTTATCTTATCCAACATTTTGTGTTCTTGCTTAGAAGCAAGGCTTAAAATGACTACATCTCTGTGTACTAAATCTGATAACTGTAAAAGCTTTTTATTTAAATTGCAAAAATATAAAAAACTTTTTGTCATTTATTTGTATTGTACATGTTCTCGGCATGTGTTTAATCATGCAGCACCTTATACCTCTTTACTGTGTAAATATTCAACAGCCTCTCTCTAAATAACTGTTCAATTAAAATGGGACGACTGTTTAAATGTTCACAAAATAACATTAACATAAATCACTAAGCAGTTTGAGTTTGAAGGTGCTTAAAGATGCTTTGGTCTTTGCCTTTCCTGCACCATTAGGGTCCAACTAATCAGGATTTATACTTATTCAAGAGTTTTCAAGCACAGGTAAGACATAAACAGCTTAATACAAAATCTCCCATAAAAAATCTTCTATCCTTTTACATGGTGGATTTATTAGTGTTGATTTTTTTGGTTTGGAGTTCAAGATTCCTTTTCAAAGTATGGTTTTCTCTGAAATACTGAGTTTTGCTTTGTTTAAATAAATTGTGATGCATGGATTAATAAACAATGCTCCAGGAATGTGTTTGTATTACTCTGTAAAATGTGAATTTGCTTAATATGTTCTCTCTTTCTTTCTTTCTTTGAGCGGGCTCGTCTGTCTGCTAACTTGATTGAACCTAAAGCAAGTGTCTGACACTCTTCCCTCTTAGTATGAGTGTGCTGTATCCCTTTCCCTGCGTTAATTCCAATTTAATTGCCAGTTGCCTCAAGGCACTTCAATAACAGTAACAAATGATTTGATTTAGTGGACCTCATCAGACTGCATTTTAAATGCGACACAGCAACCCCACTTGAATTCCAATGAAGTGCTGGCACAGTCCTCTGTTTACTAATGATCCTCTGCTGGAGATGTCTGATTGAATCTGAGTCAGGAGCAATGGGACCTGCTCACATTGTAAATGATCTGCAACCTGAGCAGACAGAGAAATAAGGACCTCATAATCTCACATTAAAGCCTCACTCTCCAGGACACGCACATTATGTCAATGCAGCTTATTAGTCCCGGTCCCTACTTCCAACCGCACATGTGATTTGCATCAGTGTGAATGCCAGAGAGGGTTTGAGAGCTGGCGTCTGCAGCCTGTAGATCAAGTGTTGACTGTATGACAGCCAATGGATCTTCTTCATGTAGCCATTTTGACTTGAACAACCCTGCCAGCGAGTCCCTATCTGTATTCCTCGCCACACTCTGTGCAACAGGAAAGCAGCCCCAAAGAGATGCCAGGTCACACACAGGATTAAACTGGATTGTGTTTTTTCCTGCAGTCCTGCCTTTAATGGCTTGATATCACTACTTAACATTCAGCACAGAGCGCATAGTGTAGGCATCATTTAGGGTGGAGCCACTATCAGCTGCTCTTTGAGCACAGAGACAGAGGACTTCACAAGCTGAAGCCGACTCCTGATGGGGGGAATGAAGAGAATAATTATACATCTAACACACCAGGAAAGAGGCATTGATTGTGTGATTGGCATGCCCTGTGCATTGTGTGGGGAAATTCTTAAAGAAAACAATCACTTTCATGGTTTAAAATAGCGCGTATAAAGACTCGCTGCTGAAAGTGCCTCTAGGCTTTTAGGGGAGTTAGTTTAGGTAGAGGCACTTGCTCTTTGAAAGAAGCTTTTCCCTCAGAGGACTTGCACAAAGTTGAAGTGACCCAGTTTCCCCACTTAAGGCCCTGTCTGTGTATGGTACTGAAATAACTGCGTGTCTGTGTCTTCTGCGTTCTCCAGGGACTGACATGGCGGTGTTCTGTCTGCTGTGTGCAAAGCGCTTCCAGACCCAGAAGGCCCTGCAGCAGCACATGGAAGTCCACGCAGGCATGCACAGCTACATTTGCAGTCACTGTGAGCGCCCCTTCCCGAGCCACACCACCCTTAAAAGACACTTGCGCTCCCACACAGGTAAGAACTCATTTAAACCATGAACGCTGACTGTGGTGTCACCTTCTCTCAGGTAATGTCAGTGTAATACTGTCAAATACACACAGACTGTGGTTGAAAACTGTTTGCTTTCTTGCAGGTAACTTATGTGTCTTTTGTTACGTATAAATATTTCAGATTGATCAAGCTTCAGTGACATGTATAGAAAGCCTATTTAGCTTTGACATTTAGCTCTCACATCAGAATAAAAAAAAAAAAAAAAAATCCAACTTCAACTGGCCCTTAGTGAGACGATTGGAATTTATTTTATTAAACTGCAGTTGAATCACAATTGAAGGGAGGGATGAGTACAAATAAATAAGCAACAATGAGAACTGATTACTACCAGAAGAGTTCAATCAAAAAGTCATTTAAATAAATCTGGCCTTAAAAATGTTGAAGTAGTTCAAAAAGATGACATCATGTCCCAATCAAAGGAAAGCTAAGAACAGATGAGAAACAAAGTTATTTACTTCCATCTGTCTGGAATTGGACTTATTAAGCAACTTTAAAGCTTTATTACCACTTAAAGCTATGATCTACAAATGGGGAAAAAATGAAGCAGTAGTGAACTTTCCCAATAGTACCAACATCAGCACAAGAGCAAGCCAATACACAGAAGTTCAGAAAATAACCCAGAACAATGTCCAGAGAACTCTAGGCCTCATTTGACTAACTGAACGTTTGGCTTGTCAGGCAACAGTTACTGCTGACACAAAGGGGCAGAAAGGCCTATCTTATATAGTTACCTGCAGACACACTGATAATGATTCCAGACTGTGGATTGCAAAAATAGGTTACATTTTTTAGAAAATGCGCATCTCATTAAATTACGCCTGTAACTAACGGTATTTTAGGAAAGTAATTTACTGACCACGTCTGCCAACAGGGTGGAACAACTGGGCCCAGATTAGAGGAGACTTGGGCCAGAACCAGCCTTATCTTCTATGGCTACCAAATGGTTTCTTCTACAAAAGAGTTTGTAAAAAGAATAATACATAGGCTTGAAATTTAAGTAAAATTTAATATTTTCCCATAAATATTTCATTTAAAATGGTTTGGCCACTGGCGCGGCCTCTTTTAAGTTTATTAAGCCGCTCCGGTAAAATGCAAAAGTCTGCAGGTAGAGACAAGAAAACACAGAGCACGGATTTTTCCCTCTGCCCTGCATCAGGCAGCAGCTCCATCGCTTTTCATAGAAATGCTACCAGGACACACAGTCTGAAGTCTATAAATAGGATCAATTGCATAAAAGTGCAGAATATACAATACATGAAAAAGTGGCAAGATTCGTATTTGTAAATGTTAAAATTGTATGTTTTGTCCAAATCTATTTGAGGGAGACTTATGAAGTGGAGCTGCTTTACTTCTTTAGGAACTGGGCTCTTTGCTGTAGTTAACAAATCAGATGTGTTGTTCTTTATCATAAAACCCTCACTCTGCCATCCATTTGTGATTGTAAACTAAAACACGCTTGGGTTTGCAGTAGGGAAACAACCCACAGCAGGCCAGTGTATTCAACTTTGAATAGATCAAAAAAGCAGAATTGAAAGTAATTAAGTGGATTAGTTAAAGCCCAAATAAATATAATAGACATTCTATGACTTAACCCTAAAAAGGCCATCCTCAAAAACCCCACACCATAGCCTAATTAAAACACTTCTGCATAGAAGAGGTATTTCTTAATAGCATTTGTTTTCAACAAGAGTGGCACAGCTAGCTCTTAGTTTGGACGATGAGAACTAATTCAGATACAGTAGGGTTACGCAGGTTTGCATAGAATCTTTCCCTGAAAAATAATTATTTGTATGTAATGTTTTCGGGTATAGTAGGTTAGAGTCCTTGCTCAGTTGTCTGCAAGGAGTACTTTCCCTGATTGGTTGGGTTCTCCATCTTCCTGCCCATCTGCTGAAGTTAGATAGAATAAATTTATGTCAGGCTTTTAATGTCATCTGGCCACTAAAAGTGTTTTACACTAGAGCCAAAAAGTAATCAAATTCACTAATGTGCACACATGCAAACACTGGGGCTAAGTGCCTTGCCCAGTGGCACATCAACATGTGACCTTAGGAAGCAAGAACTTAACCCACATATTTTCAAGTCACTTACGCTACCCAGTGAGGCACAGTCACATGTCTGTGTGTCTTTGGGTAGCACTGTGCTGGACTGGTAACTTGTCCGGGGTCACAGGCGCATTTGCCTCTCGCCCAATAATAACGAAGGCCATAGCTCCTTGCTACAAGGAGAAGGTAGAGCAAATGAATGGGTAAGCGGCAAGATGAAGGGAGGGATACTTTTTCACAGCACTCTGTTTGGAAAATAGACAACGTGTTGTGTTATTTCTGTATATAGGTTAATTTCCTCAGGTTGTTGGCTGTAAGGCTTTAGTCAATTTGCACACATCCTCTCCCACTCATCCTTCTTGCTCTCTATGGGATGACTCACCTCTCTTGTGACAGCACTGTACCTTTATGGCCGGTGCATATTTTTGGGCAATCTCATCCTGTTTATATTTTGGGTTCTGAGACAGCCTTTGGGCCTCTGCAATTCATGGCTGTCACTTCTTGTGTAGTTCACAGAAAATGATAGAGGAAACCCAAATAAATATTGAAGGAAAAGCAAATGGAAATGACTTGTCTCTGTGTTGCGCTGAGGGTGAGTGCCGTGGGAGACGGGGAGATATTTACTGAAAAGATGTCCCCTTTTCTTCTCCTACCTTAAATAACACTACCAGCTGTCAGCATGGCTTGATGTCTAGACGAGAGAAATACATAATTGATGTGAAGAGACAGAAGTGAAGGGAGTCTTGGCCATGGCAGCGTATCTTGTTTGTATGCCATTCTGCTTGGAAGTAACATTTTGTAAATGTCATCTGCTCCACAGTGGAGTGGGGGATTGGGGAGAATCGGCCTGTAATGAGGAGAGCAATGTATCCTCTGACTTGGCTGTTGCTGTGGACACTGAGATAATGAGGCACATAGGTCATTGGAGATGAGTCAAACTCTCAGCCTAGGAAAGAAATAGATTAACTACAGTATAGTGAAGAGAGCAGCACATGCCCTGAAGACTTTTATTAGCTGTTAGCATATAGCCAAGGGGCGTGTTGTAATGTCATTACATTAGCGTCATCCTAAAGCATTTTGTTTCAATAAAGACTATGTCCAGGTAGAGCTATGTGCTTATGTACCTACCCAGGTGTCTATGCTGGTACTGCGCGCCGTCAAGTTCTATGATTCTTTTAGTACCTAAGGGTTGCATTTTTGTTTCTAAAATTGTCGTGCCACAACTTTGCTTCTAGGCGATCACCCGTTTGAGTGTGAATTCTGCGGGAGCTGCTTCAGAGATGACGGCACGTTGAGGGGCCATAAACGCATCCACACCGGGGAGAAGCCCTATGAGTGCAATGGCTGCGGCAAGAGGTTCAGTCTGAAACACCAGCTGGAGACACATTACAGGGTTCACACAGGTGAGAGCTCAGATAGAGAATGAATACAGTCATACAGTACCTTGTAAAAGTACATGGGACAAAGAATAGAATAGCAAAATACAAATTAGCTGACTGATCAGCTGTTTCCTCTGTGACAGTCCTGAATGTAAGCACTGGAATTGCATTTCTATCTTGATATCTCTGTTATGTACCATCGTTTTAGCTGACATAATAAATTAAGTACAACTTGTCTGATTGCAACACAGTGATTGAAACCTCTGTCCATTACTGATCTGTTCTGCTAGTTTACTACCTCTACTTCCTGTGTATTACATCTTTCAGTGTATGGTGACATTATGATTTGCACAAACCAGATCTACTTGGCTTTTTTTTTTTGCAACATGTTAAACATTTGTTCAAAATATCACATACGAGTTGGATAGAAACATTGTGAGTTTATACAATCTTTACAGATTTACACTCAAATTTTTTTGCCAATTTTCTCAAACTGAAACACATTTGATAGGGTATCTTGAACTTAAATCAGTTTTCAAGGTTACCATTTTGGCTTAGACCTTTGCCTCAAAAAGGCCATTTAATAAACATGAATATGTTTAGATTTTTGCCCTTTCACCATAGCCCTGGTTGTATGGGACCTCTGTCCTGTCAGAAGATGAGAACCTGTCATAATGTCTAATATTTTTTAGCCTTTAGTCTTTTTTTTCCTAGATTAAAATGCATGAAGCTTCATCTAGTATTACTATTTGATTGATTTCTTAAGGTATTAGTTACACTGAATTGTTTCAGGTTTATCAGAGCAAACTGGACTACTTAGTTGTCTTAATTGTTTTTGCTGTAAAAAACAATAAATAGCTGACCTGTCATTTGTGAATGCAATGTCTAAACAGAGAAAAACAAAACTTTAAGGTTTAAAAATACCTTTGCAAGTCACTCACTAATTTAAATATACTATTTACTAAAGCCAGAACAAATTTGGATGCTTTTCTTTGACATAGTTTAAGTCTAACATACTAGTCCACCTATAAAAAAACATATAGCTGCTAATGAAGCTAGCTAGTTTAGCTTACTCTAGTATGTCCAAAATATGACATCATTTAAAATATGTAATATGAACCAACAACAAGAATATCTGGGAACAAACATGTTTTCCCTTGTATGAAATTGCCTGTTTCTGTTCAAAATAATATTTAATGAAAAGACAAACATAGCACATGCTAATTAAATGTATAATTTGAAATCAATAGTGTTGGATCAATTAGCAATATAGCCACCATCATAAAGTCGCTACCCTGTAAAGATATCTGCAAATCCACAGTTTACTTATTTAATTAAATTTTTTAAAACAAGTGTTTGAACTTATTTTCCAACAATTGTTTTAGATAAACTTGAGCAAGAGAGTGCAACACTTGGTTTATGTTTGACACAGAGCACATTTTCTATACTACCTCCACAATTTGAAGAGTTGTAACTTTTTTTGTAATTGTGAAAGATAGAAATACTTAGGAGTCTAGATTGGCTTCATACTGTAGAATCTTCAAAAAAAAGTTTTCTTTAAACCTGAGGCTAGAATTTAACCATTTACGAAGTAAGTAATGATCTGGTCATTTACATTTCAAAACCATTTCTATTTACCACAAAGCTCCAACTGCCTAAATAATTTGAGCAATACTTTTATATATCTTTAAACAAAGATTTTAAATCCATGGAACCAATTGACTACCTTATATAGCTAACTTTGAAAATATAAATGAGTGAATATAGCTCAATGATTGAAGGAGTGTAGTATTTTTTGCCGTCTTTGTCTGATCATGCGGTTTATCCCACTCCGGATTTGATAGGTAGGATAGGTACTTGAGTCTTTTTAGCAAGGTTTTATACTTTCCTGCACTAAATTATTTTTTTTCATACTAGACTGGGTACAAAAAGAAGGACAAAAAATATTCAAGTAAATGTATAGTCAGTTTTGTTTGCATAAGGCTTGACAAGATTTTTTGTCATGCAACTTCTCATTTCCACTTTTATGAAAACTGCTGCTCAAGTCTGACACCCAGTGGTATGTTTTAGTTAAATATTATAAAGCTCAATTTACATTTTTATTTATTATAAGAGTACTAAAATTATCAATTGGATTAATCGTGATTTATCAATTGTTGAAATAAACATCCTCTATTTAAAATTGAAAATCCTCCCTCAGTAAGTATGTATTTAAAAAGTGGTCAAAGAATTATTCAATTAGCAGAATAATCTTTCTTTCTATCTAGATATCTACCTATTCAACATATGTATCTAAACACACCTTATTAATTTATCTGTAATATTTTGTGCATGCAATTTAGTTTTTTCCTGTTTTTGCCATTATTTGCAGTTAATTAAAAATGCAATTAGTATTTTTTTTACTTTGAAATGTTTTTGTTGAGGAATGTTAATCTACTAAAAGTATATTGTTTAAAACAATGAATCAAAAAGTAATATAAGATAATAAGATTAATTAGTTACTAAAATAGTTGACGGATGCCATCTTACATTATTAGCAAGGTTTTGACAATTTTTTTAATATAATTTAGCCAGGCTTACAAGTTAGCCTGTACAATACATAAATAAAAAAGGTAAGGAAGTGATTGGAGACAGATTTGTCTACATTGCTCGAGATAACTTGGATAACTTGCTTAATAAATCTTAGACCACAAAAATCAAGCCCAAAAAATAAAAACTGGGATGCTACTAAGTAAAGACTAAGGAAGAACACTTTTCCTGCATTTTCATGCAGAATTTATGCTCCTCATTACTGAACCTGTTTTTCTGCTAACATTAGAGTTTCTCTATGAACAGTCTATAGAAATGGCTTCAGATTTAAGTACTGCAGGTATTTCTTCCACTGTCTTTAGCGTACTCAAACATGTTAAACTATTTACAAGGTCAACATAAAAGTTGACAAATGTTGAGGTAATTACGATACCTCATCCTAAAATCTAAAAGGAGAAGTGTGAAGCATAACCTGTTTTTATCTCTTGGAAATATTGATTTGTAAAATAAAAATACAATTATATTTCATGGTTGATTCTAATGTAAAATACCGTTTTGTGTGTCTCCTGAAACAAAAAATAAACAAACCCCCCCCCCAAAAAAAACAAGTTAGATAATACACCTTTTGAAATCAGTATCTAGTCTTTTCAAAAGTGTCCCATTTTTCCACCATAGCACTACAACGCATATGAAGACTTTGTGTTTTTCCTCTTCTCATAGGTGAGAAACCCTTTGAGTGCAAGCTGTGCCACCAGCGCTCCAGAGACTACTCGGCCATGATCAAGCACCTGCGTACACACAATGGAGCTTCTCCATACCAGTGCACCATCTGCCAGGACTTCTGCCCCAGCCTGGCCGCCATGCAGAAACACATGAAGGGCCATAAACCCGAGGAGGTGCCACCTGACTGGAGGATAGAAAAAACCTATCTGTATGTCTGTTACGTCTGAGCAGAAATTGGACCCCAGGCGCAGTCTAACACACACACACACACACACACATACTGTCAGTCCTGGATTAAAACTTGTGCTGCTGGTTTAAAGCTGAATGCATAAAGTATTTTGCTGTTTTTGGACAAAGTTTCCTCTGAAAAAAAAAGTTTTTTTTACTGGACGACAAGACGTGCAAGCAGGGATACCGGAGTGTTTACAGAGTAAAGCTGCAGCTAATGATTACTTTTGTTGGCAGTCAAATTATGAGTGCTATGAAGAAGAGACAACCTCGCAAAGATATCCTAGGTAAATAATTGAATCTATCTGACAAACAGTAAAATCCAAAGAGATTTGCTTTCCCTTTCTCAAAAACAAAAATTCAAACATTTTTTAGAGCCGGTAGGTGATTTCTTCTAGCGACAGTTCAGTTAATTCTAAAAGCTGGTGACAGATTCCTGATGGCTTAACTGTTTGCCTCTCCTACACAGAGAGACACACACTTCCTCTCTTGCACACAGAGTTTAGATAACATTATCTTTAAAGGATACATTGTGGTGAAAAATCAATGCCACGGTGACTTTGACTGCAGAACTACTCATGCAGCAGCAGAAGCACTGAAGCAACTGCTAAACCATCGTTTTGTATCATTTTCAGTTTGCGCGGCAGATGTTAAAAATGACTCCTGAAAAGCTTGATTGGCTGAACTTTGCAACTTCTGTCTCCCTCAATTTCCTTTGACTTTACCTTTTTTTTTCCTGCAGGTGGAATTTTGAGTTTGGAGTTGCTTTTTTCTGCATGTTTTTACTTGAATGGCTGACCTCATGAGTTTGATCTCTTTAATTGCCTTGTCTTCTCATGCAGTTGGTGTTTTTAAACAGAGGCAAGTTGTGCTGAAATTGCAATTGCTTCTATTGATTTCTTTTCAATTTATGTGTTGGTTATGTGTTACCAAATGTATGTGCCAGTTCCATCCATGCTCTGTGTCCATGTTCACTTAATAGAGATGTACATAGAAACCAACTAGTGACAGGAATTGATCAAATTTCAGTTTGTTTGGCCCTAACTGGTGTGAACGCAGCTGGAAACTCTGAACGTCATCTTTTTTACTTCATGTTTATCTTCAGAACTAACAGGTCACTGTAACACCAGTCTTCAATGTGGATGGGGTTACTCCAAGTTCACTATTTTCTATTTTCAATGTTAGTAAATGAAAAATAAAATCAATACAGAGATGTTAAAAATTGTTTAAAAGAAAGCCATTTTCAACCACTAGTCAAGATGTGTTGGTTGTTCCTTAAGACTACAACAGGGTAAGAGTGCAAAACCTGAAGCGGATAATAAGAAGGCTCAACAAAGAACAGAAAAGTTTTTGTTTTGTTTTGGTTTTTTTTCATTTTCTGCTTTTAGAATTTACCAGGAATTCCAGTACTAGTGAGCTATGACTCTTTAAATTAAACCAACTTTTTAAGCTATGGGTTTTTTGTGTGTGTGTATAATTAGGGCAAACATCCGAATTTCAGCAGGGAATCTTTAAAAGGTTATCGAGTCTAATCACACCTTAGGTCAGCCTTAGGAGATAAAAACCTGTTTCTTCAGGTAGTTTCTCACAGATTAGGTCTCAATGCAGAGGTTTTGCCCTTTTTAGAAATATTCTAAGTTGGAATCCACTTAAAAAAGGATAATTTAAACAAAACAAATTATCAAAATATTAATGCAAACATATTGTTTTATCCAAAAAGAGGCATCAATGTGAATTGTGTGTTAAATGCTAATAACACACGTCCAGCAAATAAAACTGAGAATATCATGAAAGTTTTTACATCTATGGTTTCAGAAGCCTTGGAAATGGGGCTTTAATGTGGACCCAACAGTCCAGGGTTGTGGAAATATTCTGTGAATGTAATGCAGAAATGCACAGTGTATCGGAGGCCATTGCTTTAATCCTCCTGTAGTGAGCAGTGTATCATGTGCAAGAAACAGGTAGCATATAGTCATAAATATTTGCACAAGAAGTTGTTTGTGTCATGAAAACGCTTAAAAAGAATTTCCCCAAGTATAAGAAACATGTCTGCAAAGGAAGGTTCAGTATTCAACATTTAATATTCCTGATTTTTTTTTTTACATTCATTCCTATAAATTCCCCATTTTGATGTTAATTTTCCTACTCCACACTCGCACACCGGAAGATATCATAGCAACACGGCTAAAATTAATACTGACCTTATTTAGTCTTTTAAGTTTGTAGGGAGACCTTTGTCTTAGTTGGCCTCTATTGAAAGCTTTACAAAAACCAGAGACTGGATATTGGTCAAACGATTCTGATCGGTACGTCCGTATCCCATACATTTCTCTACTGGTTTAGAATTCACATACAAATCACTTGTTTTGTTTAAGCAAGATTAACTTGAAAAACATTATACAAATGGTTAAACAGTGTGTAAAAAATGGACAGGCTATTAAAGACTTTTAAGTGTAGTATTTTTTTTTTTTTAAATCATTGCTTCTATATAGATGTCTTATAAAGATCACAGAATCAGAATTTTCTATTAAAAAAAGAAAAACATGAAAATAAAATTGTTTTTATATAAAACAAGAACAGAAAATTCTGACATTCAACTCCTATGAGCAGGTTATTGTTGGTCGTAGTGTAGCTGTAATGTACTGTCATGGTATGTGATTCCCTTATGTGAGCCTAAAACAGGCCTTATAGATTTGAACTTGTTGTATTTTTGTATTACAGTAATTTGCTGTTTGTTTACATTTGGTATGATTTGAGAAACACCTTAATGTTTGTGTGTTTTGTATGAGTTGATTAAGACCCATCCCTTGTGCCTCTTTTTATAAGTAGAGCATCGATGTGCTTGAGTACATGGGACTGTGCTGTCGGTAGGTGTTTTCTGGGTGTTTGTTTATTGTTACTAAACTAAAGATAAAATACCATGTAGATTCACTTTGTCTGAACATTGCAAATGGAAGCAACAAACTGTGATAGTGGCGGATAATCTGATGCAAGATCTGAGCAACTTCTCATCTAAAAAAAAAAATGAAAAAAGTGGAACGCTTGTTTCTAACATTTCCCTTCAGAGCCACAATGGACTGACATCTCTGGAAGATAAGCAAATCTTGGCATCTGTGGGCATCACCAATGCCTTCTTAAGTAGCCAACAACACTCAGTGCCATGAAAGCCCACAGTCACTGTATCTATTCTACATGAACATGCACTATAAATGGATTTCCTCGATGGACCAAAAGAAATAGAGCACTTTTGTTTGAAAAGGGTTTTTCTTTTCTTTGATCTTTGTATGTTGTGATAATGCAGCTGTCTTTAATTTGATGTGTCCTAGAATGGTGTGATTTGCATTGTTTAGATTATGTCACTGTCTGTCTACCTCAGGACCAGATCAAAGCTTGAGCTGGTATCCAATCAGGGTTGTTCTTCTTGCCATGTGTGCAGTAATAAAAAAAAGAAAAAGAAAAATCCCTTCTCATTACAGCTTTGTATCACAGTGTGTGCAAACGTTTTCTCAGTGTGGATTCAGGCACAACTCTGTATGCGTCAGTGTTCAGTGGCATGGTTTAAAAAAAGAATAAAACGATTTACTATTTTATGCATCTCGTCTCAGTTTCCTGCTGTTACTTCCGTTTCCTTTTATTTGATCTTGCACATAAGCATTATTTACAGCTGCCTGATATCTTCTAAATATGTGACGCATCATTATATATAACTGACAGAAAACTGGATCTATAAAATGTTTTTTTTTTTTTTAGAAATGAAATAGTGTAAGTACTGGTTTGCTTAAGTAGGCAGTTCCCAACAAGTCAAAGCTGGCAACAGTTGAGATTTATTTTTCTGGCATTTTTTCATACAACTAATTTATTCACTTGTAGTTATTCCCACAATTTTTTATGTTCTGATGATTTTAGCAGCCCCAGTTATTTTTGCCAGTAAAAATAGGCAAGCAACGAACAT